TCTTTATGTTCCCTAATTCTGGCACCTGCTATATTTTCTACCCCACTTAGATATTTGACATCTGAAAATGTGATAAGCTTGTTTACCATTTCTTTATTTGATAAACCATGAACTAGACCAGAGCATGCCACCCAAAACCTGTTGTCGCTGGCCGCTTAGTCAGTACCCTTTTGCATAAAATTTGAACAACTTGTGAACTGTACTTATGTATTCATGGGAATGGCACAAGATATGTTGTCAAAAATAGAAAGAGCAGGTCTGCAATATTTAAAATTCCAGAAACTTACCCCAGTAACATCAAAGGGAAATGATACTGTCTAATACACAGCTGTCAGTATTGATCTTTGAATGTTTGTAAAGTTGTGTTGATACTCTACTGATGAGTACTTCCATGTAATCCATGTTTTTGAAAATCATAATATGAGTGGAGAGTGTTTTCATGAACAAGAATCTAAACTCCATATCCTTACAACACTGACCAAACCGTGGCAGGTTTAGGGGTGGATAGACCTAGGACACTGGGTGATGTTTTTGTAAGCAAACTTCCCCAGAGCTTTATTAGGTCAATGATTTAGCACAATTTGACTAATCCCCAGCTCCAGAACTAAGACTTTAAGTCTTGATGAAACTAAAGCCTTTCCTTATTCAACCAAGATCCATGCCAGGAGGAAACAGAGCGTACCCTAAGAACAGAAAAAAAAAATCAACACATATAAATTTTGTATGTAGGTAATGGCTGGCTAGAAGGGATAATTTTCATTCTTTTATAGTTCCAGGGACAAATGGGAAAAATCATAGACTTCAAGCAACCATGCAGTAAGTCTTGGCTCTAACACTTAATAGCTGTGGCATAAAATTTCTTTTTAGAGTAGTATTGATGGTTCCTAATGAAAATACCCTTTTTGCAAATTCTTACATTAAAAAATTAATAACTTGACCTCAAGTCTACAATTAGCTGAGAATTCTCAGTGCACCCCCTAAGTTCTTTTGATAACTTACTTGTTTATTACCTCAAAATTTATTTGAGATAATAGGGTCAAAATTAAATCTCTGAACCTTTCCCCTTCACTTCTTTCTTCTCTCCCCTCCCTCTCTCTTTCTCTCTCCTTCTCTCTCTTTCCATGGTATTATGGATTGAACTCAAGGGTTTTTATTTACACTCTACCAAGGAGCTACATTCCAATCCCTTTTAAGATAAAGTATTACTAACCTTTAGCTATATTTAAATTTATACTTTTTCTGAAATTAAAAAATCTATTTCCACAAAACTTCTTAGCACTTCTTTCTTTAGCATATATTTTTTATTGTAAAGATACTGTACAGAGAGGTTACAGTTACATGAGTAAGGTAATGAGTACATTTCCTATTGAGCATTGTTACCTCTTCTTTTGTTTTTCCCCTACCATCCCTTCCCTCCAATTTTTCAACTCCCCCTCTCCCAAGCTGTAAAGTTCATTTTCAACATAGTGTTTTGGACATCTCATTGTTACAGTGGGTCAACCTGTATCCTTATTTCAGCATTTTGTTATTTCCCTTCCCCTCCTCAAGTTAGAAAAATGTATATATAGGATGGAGGGCACTCGAATCAAATACAGTGAAAACAGGGGTTATACAATGGGGGAAGAACATCTGTTGCTGACAATCACTGCTTCTATGTCCAAGGTAGTATTCTCTCACTAAAAGTGGTCTGAAAAGGATAATTTTTTAGTTCAAATAAGTTTCTGTATTTTTAGGACCCATGGACCTGTAGCAGGTACTTAGAAATACTTTTGAAAAATAAACTGACTGATAGTAGTTTGGCCTTAGAGCCAGTTCTTGGTTAACTTAATTTTCTTTTGTAGTAGTCTTCTAGCCAATTTTATAACAGATTGACTATAATAAATGCCCTCTTTGTCAAACACACAGACTTATTACTATTTTTCTGTTGAACAGGGACTATTGCATACTGTAATGAATAAACATATGTATGTAACATTAGCTAGTGCTGTGAGCCCTAAAAGTGATCTTATCAAGGAAAAACATTCAAAAAAGACTCAGTTGACAATATCAACTGCCTATAACTGCTTTTCATCTCTTAATAGAGAATCACCAATCTCTCAGATCCAGTGTGAAGTTTTGAGGTTTTTCACTGGCATTGCTAGACTTTTATCTGTGCTATTGTTATTTTCTTGGGTGATCTGCATTGAAATTATTGATAAGAATTGCAAATCCTTTGTGTATTGAGCCCTTTCTTATTTAAGATCTATGATTTACCTGTCTTATCTTTTTTCTTTTCCCAGTCAAAGAACTTTCAATTTTTGATTTCTCTCTGGTGTCTCTGCTTCCAGTTTTTCTCTAGAAATTCTTCCTTTTTGCAGATAAGCTTGTACTAAGATAAGAAAGCTTCTTGAGAAAGCAAGGAAGTCTATAGTAATAATGCTATCACAGAGCAAGGAAGGGCTATGTGGGAAATATCTCAGGTCACAGATTCATTATAATCATGTTATATAGTTTCTAATCATGATCAAATACAAAGAATATCTTATCTACCCCATCCTAAATATAAAAGGAACTTTATTTGAAATAAGGATAATTCCACAGATTACCACAATCAAATTCATGCCTATAGCTTCATCATTCTGAGCAGTGGGAGTGGGGGTTACTTGTTCCAGATTTGGCTCTCTATTTGAGGAATTTTGAGGTAATGGGAGTGCCCTGTAGATTCCTTCCTGTTTAGGGCTCAACATCTGCCTGTGCTCTTTTTTCCTTCAGGTTTATAGTTTGTTTTTTGTTTAATTTATGTATTTTTTAGTTGGTCGTGGGGCCTGAACTCTGGGCCTGGGCGCTGTCCCTCAGCTCTTCAGCTCAAGGCTAGCGCTCTACCACTTGAGCCTCAGCCCCACTTCCAGCTTTTTATGCTTATGTGGTGCTGAGGAATCAAACCCAGGGCCTCATGCATGTGAGACAAGCACACTACCACTGAGCCACCTTCCCAGCCCACAGGTTGATTTTTTTTTGCCTAGAGACATGGTTTCACTATGTAGCACAGACTGGCATTGAACTTCCTATCTCCCTGCATTAGTCTCCCAAGTATTGGAGACATACCTGATAAAACTGACCCTTAAGGAGACACAAATTCTGACAGCAGAACAGGTTAAACTGCATTGAAGTCCTTCACAGCAAGAAAGGGCACACAGCCAAGCTTCCTGGACCTTTGTCTCATCACAGGATGTTGCTTAGATATCTGTTGATCAACAGACTGAATTTCTATGACCACTGAGGGTCCTGCAAGGAAACTGCACTGAGTATAAACACCAGCTTTTAAAACAGGGGGGACACAGTAAAAGGTAAGTTCCTTTAAAAAAATTACCTTCCAGTTCCAAATTTATCTCATAATTTGTTGTCAGCAATAGCCGAAGAAAAGCATTTGTGAACTATCACTGAGAAATAAAAGCATCAGTCATTTCCTCATGCTATTTGAGGACAGAGAAAATCGCCCCAACCTTGGAGAGTATTTAGTCTCTGCTCTACAGATCTGGAAAATGGGAGGAGGGTTATTGAGATGATTTGAGTACAGGGTAGAGCATAGGTTTCAGTCAGACTAAATATTAAAAGTATATATCTTAAACAGTTGGTTTTGGAGGCCCATTGAAGGAAAGCAGTATTAAATAAAATACGTACAGTTTAATTTGTAAGGCTCTGCCCTGGAAACAATACACAAGGAGGTGCTGACTGGTGTTGTCTAAGATATTTCCTAGCTAGAAGATTTGAATGTTAAATCTGTGATCTCAGAACTGATCAGAATCTTCACTCCATGAAATACTTTGTAAGACTGTTTGTGTGTGTGGTATCCATGTGTATGCATGTATGAGCACTACCAGGGGAGGCCACGGAGAGAAGGAACAGGCATAAGGGGAAATCATTCTATGCTCATGATCTCAGCAACCACACAAACCACTAGGTAGACATGACAACCATCATGAAGATGAGAGGACCCAGGCTATAAGAAGGAAACAAACTCAGGTCTGTTGGCTCTAAGATCTAAGCAACATCTATTATAGTTTCTATTCTTCATTAGGCTGCCGTATGGATATTGGTATAGTCTAACATAGAACATTTGTTACTATATCTGATTCATCAGATTCTTTCTGTTATTCTATAGTTTGTATTACTGAGAAAGACAAAGGACAACAAACAACTATTCTGGTTTCTACTTTTTGCTTGGAAATGCTAATTCAGTATGTCTAGTCTTCCCAGATTGTTAATTGTTCATTATTACTATATATACCTAAGATTCTAAATCCTAAATTACCTGGAAGAAACTGCTTCATTTTGTATCTTTCTCTGGCAAGTGGAAAGAGTATGACCAAGTTTAATAGTTTATCATATGTGCAAGAACTAGAGAAAGATGTGGGGACATATCATATTGCTACTAAAGTTATTTTGAGATATATTTAATGAGCTAAGAAGGTTCACAACACATATATATTGTGATCACATTTTTCTAAAATCAAACGTGTTACTCAGAAAAGGCAAATTAAATTAAAGCAAACCAATCAAATGCAAGCAATAGGTAGGGAAGGGTAATCTTACTTTTTTCTCAAAATCTTTAGAAAAAGTATTTCCCAAACCTCCAAAATGGTATGTTACTTTTAGAATCAGATAATAATGTTATTTAAAATGATCAAGGCATAACTGTAGTAGAAATGGCATGGCTCTAAAAGCCACATATTATAAACACAGTGAATTATTCCTTCTGTAGAGGGGGGGAGAACATGAAAAATGCAGAAATAGGCTATTTGGTGAGATCTGATTACTTGGAAACATGAGAAAATGTTCATTGCTTTGGAACAAATAACTTTTATTTACTTATTTGCTTGTTTGTTTTCCGAAGTCTATCCCAGAATGAACACAATGTGAATGTATGCTCTGCTTTTGTTTTCCGAAGTCTATCCCAGAGTGAACACAATGTGAATGTATGCTCTGCTTTATTATTCCTGAAAGGTACAGGGGAAAGAAGAATGGGAGGAAACAAGAAAAGACAAAAGAAGCTGAAGAATGTTCCACAAATTCCTGGCATTCAAGTCCCTACCTCTGTTGCTGACACTTCCTTGCTCAAGGTAGGGTGTTTGTTGTTGTTGTTGTTGTTTTGTTTTGTTTTTTTGTTGGTTGTGGGGCCTGAACTCTGGGCCTGGGCACTGTCTCTCAGCTCTTCAGCTCAAGGCTAGTGCTCTACCACTTGAGCCACAAGTCTACTTCTGACTTTTTCTGCTTATGTGGTGCTGAGGAATCAAACCCAGGGCCTCATACATGCAAGACAAGCACTCTACCACTGAGTCACCTTCCCAGCCCAAGGTAGGGTGCTTTATCCACAAATAGAAAGCCTTATTTATCTTTCTCTTGATGCTTTAGGACTTTTTCTAATGTCTCTTTCTCTCACATTCTGGAACTTGTATGAGTAATGTAATTTGAAGGCACAAAAGAGAGAATAGCTTAGCATACTAAACCTATCTAATTACAGCAGCTCTGCTCAACTGTCACCTCCAGTTGCTCATTGGCTTACCTGTGATGGAATACTGTACTTTCTTGCTGAAGCTTTTTTTGTCTAAGCTAGTCATAGCACTCATAAGCTTTGTAAACACTTCAGTTTCTTTTCCTTCTACCCCTTCCAGGAAGGCATAGACAACAGAATAAGAACGGTAGATGTTGCTTACTACTTCTCATTAAGGATACTTAAGAGTTTTGCTAAGGAAAAGAAGTATCTTCATAAAATAAAGCTGTAATTTTAAGGTTTTATCTTGCCTAATGTAAATTCTCACTGTACTTTGGAACTTTGCTCTTAAAATTGGTTTGTAATTTTCTTATTATCTGTTCCCATTCATTTGAAAGGCTTAATTAGTTATTCAGGAAGGGAATCCATTATCTTCTTCAAATTCAGAAATTGTAAGGCTACATTGATGTCCCAAATTTTGAGACACTTGGCTTTATTACTTTTGCTCAATATCAATTTTTATCAAATATCAATATCAAATTTAATGTCTAGACCTCAAAAACAAATGACATGAACAAAAAAACTGTCTCATAGATTTTAGTCCCACACAGAATATCTTATAGGAAAAGCCATCTTGTCCTACTCTTATACAGTATCTTAACTTTAGTTTATATTTGGTAGCTACCTAATAGTTTTGATAGTTCTGACATTGCTTTAAATTTCTCCTTTAGGAGAAATTTTGAACTTAATTTTACTAGACTGGTGATGTCATTCTGTTTTTCATCTGTAAATAACCACAAAAAATTGCTCACCTCATAGGAATGTTATAACTTAAAAGCTAATATATGAAAAAGGCTTGTCTTATTATATAGTAATCATTCAAGATATATTAAATATAAAATAGCAATTGGAACCTATCCCAGTTAGGCATTGGTGGCTCATGCTTATAATTAGCTTCAGGAGGCTGAAATCTGAGGATCCTGATATAAAGCCAGGCAGAGAAGTCTATAAGACTTTTATCTTCAATTAAGCAGCCAAAAACCCAGAAGCAGAGATGTGGCTGAAGTGGTATAGTAAATAGCCTTGATCAAAGACATCAAATGAGGGTGTAAGAACCTGAGTTCAAACCCCAGTACTGACACAGAAAATGGAAAAGAAAATCAAATATTTTCTTCTATTTTCCTCTCTACCTGTGTGACAGTGGCCCTCTGAATGATCTGCCCACAAATGTCCACCATCTCTCAAGTCCATTGTCTAGATATAGCAAGGCTGGTGTGACCTTTTTAAAGTAACAATCTGGCCAGTTTAAAGTATGGCATTTGGAGCCAGGTGCTGGTGGCTCATGTCTGTAATCTTAGCTCCTCAAGAGGCTAAGATCTGAGGATCACAGTTCAAAGCTAGCCTTGGCTGGAACATTCGTGAGACACTTATCTAAAATAAGCTACTGCCAGGTTCTGGTGGCTCAGATCTGTAATCCTAGCTACTCAGGAGGCTGAGATCTGAGGATCGAGGTTCAAAGCCAGCCCAGGCAGGAAAGTCTGTGAGACTCTTATCTCCAATAACCACCAGAAAACGGAAGTCTCACTGTGGTTCAAGCGGTAGAGCACTCACCTTGAGCTGAAGAGTACAGGGACAGCACCCAAGCCCAGAGTTCAAGCCCCATTACCAAACAAAATAAATAAATAAATTAATTAAATTAATTAAATAAAATAAGCTACTAAGAAGCTAGAAATAGAGCGGTAGCTCTAGTGGTAGAGTGCTAGCCTTAAGCAAAAGAAACTCAGAGATAGCATCCAGGCTCTGGGACAGCTAAATCATTTTTGCAGAAGGAACAGAAGCTGCCTTATGCATAGCCAGATGATGAGACCACTGGACTCCACCAGTGAGGATCAGCAGCCTTCACTTTTCCTTTACTCCAACTGGAACAATCAAATATCCCTCCAAATGATGACTGGGCATCAAACCCATCTCTGTCAACAATCCCTGCCTTAAGTAGAGAATTTTAATGGCTCCTTGTATAAGTTATACTTTAAATTCAACATAGTAAAAAGGTTTCCATGAGCTTTTCCTGTCTAATTCAACAACCTCTTTAATTCAGATTCCATGTTATTTTTGAACTAAGGAAAAAGGAAAGCCTGGTTCCCTACATATCCAAATATTTTGTGCCCCATAAGAGCATTTTGTCTCCTTTATTTTTAGCTGACTTTTTTTTCCAATCCAGTGCATCACAAACTTTAGACTCTACGTTTGAGAATCAACTGAGGGTATGAAACAATAAAATGTAGGACCCAAGGCTCACAGTTTCTGATTGAGCAGGTTAAGGCTTGAGTTGAGAGTTTTTGGTATTTATTTTACTGGGGTTGCCCAGAGCCTTGTGTATACTGGGCAATTACTCTCTCCCTGAGCTCTGTCTCCAGCCCTGAGAATTTACATTTCTAACAGATGCCTAGGTATTGCTCATGCTTTGAAGAACAGTATTGCAGCCCCTCGGGGACTCTTCCTCACCCTGCAGACTTTGATGCAGTAGGTATCTCATTAAAGAAGCTTACCTGGACTGCTACAGGGAATTTGTTCTCCTGCGTTTTCATAATACTTTCTTACTGTTGATGATAACCACTTACCACATTATCCATCTAGTCACTCATCTTCCTTCCCTTCTAGGAACTTTCTACTGAAGGTCTGACCCATTCTGAGGCTGTCATAATTCAGACCTATATAGATCTCTCAACATACCATCTCTACAAAATCTTAAATCTTGGAACTATTTGGATTTCCCTCAGCCCACTACCATGACCCTCTTATTTTTTTTTACCATTGTAAAGTCATTCACCTGCTCTGTTCTGACAGGACCTAACCCGAGGACAACAGTGCTACTTTTACAGCATCATGAGGATTTATGACTCCAGGCCTCAGTGGGAGGCCCTGCAGAGCCGCTATATTCAGAGCCTGGCACACCAGCAGCGGCTGGGTGAGTCTACCTGCCTGACCTGAACCAGCCTCTCATCAGGAAGGGATTTGTGTGCTGTAGTCAGGAGTCAAGTTTCCAGATAAATAATTCAAGAAGAACGGCTTTTGCCAACCTGTTTCAGCAGCAGGATTGGCTAGCCAAGTTTAAAAATGATCATCTCAGACAACATATAGACAACATACATAGATATAGACATATAGACAACAGTGTATATAGTCAACATTTGGCTAAATTAAGAAGGCTTAAAAAACAATAGTATGCAGTATTATAAAATGTATTTTTTAAAAGCTATCTGAGTTGGGAGGACCTCTTCTACATCACTATCAATGCCACTAAGTTTAGAAAGCCAGCCTAGGCTTCCACCATGGCACTGGTCCTTGGATGTCTGTGAAAACTAGGAAGCCTGGTTTCTTAAAATAATAGTTACTTTTCTTTTGGGGGCATTTGCTATGTCCCATAGATAGGATATACCTCATTTTTCTCCACACTTTATAGTTGTGAAAAATGCAACTATGGGTAGGTAATGCAATTTAGCGAAGATTGAACAGATAGTCAGTGCCAATGAGGACTTCAAGCCAGAATTGGAGTCTCCCAAAACCACATATCCCTGCTCTTTCAGATTTTATGGAACACAAGTGAAACCATGGTTGTGAAAGACCTGCGTATATCATAAGCACCAACCTACTAAAAGCTATCATTCAGTCTCTCTGTGTGAGAGACGTTTCCTGTTGCCAGCCCCTCTGTTATGTCCTTCTCCTAATTCTGATGGAAAACTGAAGCATGGATAAGTAAAATATCTTGATTAGGATCGTGCAACCAGTACGGCCCTGATCCAGAGCCAGGAGTTGGCAGGTACTCGTGATTATCTGCAGTGCTGGAGAAACATTGCCATCGGATTGCTTTATTCTCAGAGCAAAATTGCATAGAAACCAATAAATCTAAAAGCAGACACATTCAGTATTTAGGGCACATGAATCCACCTGTCACCTCCATAAGGTATAGGCGTCTGAGACTCATCCTCTGAGTTTCTGATCCCACAGGTCTGTGGAATAGTCAGAAGAATACATTTCAATTTTTGAAAAGCATAGCACTTCACCAAGGTGATTCTCCACTTGGTTGTATATAGGCCATTTTGAGAGACACTGAAAGGGATCAAATACCTCTCTTCCTGGATTTAAAGAAACTGCAGCATGCACTGTTATAAAATGTAAAAAAAAAATAAGGTTTAAAGAAACTATAGTGTGCTCTGTTATCAATAACATTGTTATCAGAAGAACATTCTGATATCGAAGACGAGTTACTCATGTGACAATTCCTCATTGCTCAAGTCTTTCCCCCAAGTGATCTGACCTATTAAACAATGAATGACTAAATATTTACTAACTCATTGAATGAGACATACAAAAAAAGAAAACTATAGTAGTTTACCCTCAGAGATAGGCATCCTAACTACAAAAGAAGATCTCTCATGGACATACCTGATTATTACATGTTTTATTTAGTTCTCTAAAACTGTCAACGTGCAAGTTCCTCTTATTTTCTCCCCTCCTTCCCAGGCTATATCACCCAGCAGGAAGCCTTGGCTTGTGGTACTCTCCTTATAGAGTCAACCAAGAAAGCCTCAGCCAAGGTAGCAAAGCAATGGACCGTTTCCCAGAAGTCTTCAGCCATGACAAGAAAATGTCTGTCAGCAAGACCCAAGTCTGCAGTTGGTCCCAGGGCCCACAGTGCACGGTGCTGAGTATCCAGAGCCAAGATTGTACAGCCCCTGCACATGGCAGTTTGTCTGTGTATCCTGGCATCTTTAGTATTCAGCGGGTGCTTACGCTTATATTTCCTGAATGACAATGAATAAAAGAGTAACTACTAATACAAACCTTAGGCCTAGAAATAATCTTTCATTCACATAAATTTTACCAGTGAGAACAAGTTGTAAGGTTTACAAAGCTATAGAGCAGAGACGAAGCTTTCCCACATATCATCTGTGAAATAAAATGACTTTCAAAGTTTTCAAAGGGAAAACTTCCTCTGTATTTGAACCTCCCAGGGAAATCCTAAGAACAGGACAAAAGAGAAGTGACGAGAGGGTGCCAGGCCCTCTACTCCATATCAACTGGCAACCCAGTGCCTAGACTGAAAATACATAAACCTAATTTGAATTAAAATGAATCATGGAGTTTCTGCAACATCATCATGGTACATGTCTCTCCTTCTTCTCTTTGTTCCCTACAAGCCATAGTGATCAGCTTGGTCCCAAAGATTCAGGTTCTAGTCTGTCCCAGTCACTTAGTATTCTCCAGAAACTTACACTTACCAGTCTGACTGCCAAGAAGATGAACACTTGGCCTTCACACAAAATTCATGTAGACATCTTTCCCAAGCAACCAGACTCTCAGCAGAGCAAGAAATAGCCTCAAAGAATTGATCTCAAGTCTAACCTTGTGGTGGCTTTGAAGATTTTCAGCAAGGCACACATGACTATGCAAATGAGCAGACCATGAGGTATAGTGAATCAGGTGAAGTGTAGAAAAGATGTGTTCTGAGATCCTACCTGACTTTTCTTTAGGAAGGACAAATGGCTGGCCCCACAGTGTGTTGGGAAGTCTGGGAAACTGACACAGACCTCTAGAGGGTCATGCATGTAGTCCTAGAGAAGCTTCTTGACCCTGGCAAATCCTAGGGCTTACTCAGATATTCTAAATAGCTTTATAGTTCTTAGCGGGGAATTGTTCATAGATTTAAAAGAAGAAAAACATCAAATAAAATGAGGGTGAGCTAAAGGGGAAGCCTTTTATGAGACAGAGATTTGAGGGAGTCCTGAAAGCCTACACTAACCTTCCCACTGTTTGTACCGTGGGCTTGTTAGCCCTCTGAACTGCTGACTCCCACTTTTTTTCTTATACTTTTGTGTTTTGATGGGCATAGATACTTGCTGTGTAAGCCATGGCTAGGGATGCAGAATACCAACAAGACCACTTAGGATTCTGAACTACAACCCTGCACCAAAACTTTCAGAAGCATCTTATTTCCAATAGAGGATTTTACATGCTGATGGCCAGATGAATGTCTGAGGCACACACAAGAACAAATGGATTGAATAGATCTAAAGTATTGCAGGAAGCCCCTCCTGTGGGCTCTCTTTTTTGAGAAGATACTAGTCCTCTGCAAAGACCCTGAAACTTATGAGATACATGGTGACTTGTGGTGCTAGGAGCAAATGCTCATTTGAATTGAGGAAAACAATTAAATGGTGGAAAAACCAGAACTTGAAACTTTTAGGCACATCTACTACATTGCCCTATTGGAAACTATATTGCTTGTTTTCACAATGTGAGTGAATGCTAACAAAATTTAAAGTCTCTGAAAGGCATAGTAGAACCTACCTGTAATCCTAGCACTTGGGAAGCTGAGGCAGAAGGATCTTTAGATTCAAGCCAATTTGTGCTATGAACTGAAACCCTGTTTCAACAAACATACAAACAAATCCAGGTATGCTGGTGGCTCATGGCTGTAATCTCAGTTACTGAGGTGGCTAAGACTTGAAGGATCACATTTGAAGCCAGCCCTGGCAGAAAAGCTTACTAGAATAGACCCCCTTCTTAACTGAGAGTTGGGAATGGTGGTATATGCCTCGGTGGCTATTTCTATGTGAAACTATCTACGGGGGACGCATCCTCCCTTCGATAGTGACCTATAGCCAAAAGCTGTCCCCTTTGGCATACTGCTGAGATTTGAGCTGGCTGTGAGGAATTCCATCCTATCATTTTCCTTTATATTTAGGTGGAATTCTAATTGTGCATTTTGTGGTCTGTAATGATTCTACTTTGAATGCATGCCCACTAACCAAATATGTTTAAGGATCCATTGTTCTTTTAAATAAATGGCCCAGAGATTTTTTTCTAATTTATTTTATTGTTGTTTTAGAGGTGATATACAGCAGGATTATCTTTACATACTATGGGGAAGGAGATATCAGAGGTTTTTATTATCTTGCAATACTGTGGATTGATCCCAGAGTCTTTTGCCTGCTAAACCAGGGTTCTATCACAGACCTACATCTCCAGCTCATCTTTATATAATTTATATGTAACAAATACTCTCAATTAAAATTCAACATATCTTGACAAATGCATTCACATATTTATCTACTTCCCACAACTGTGATATAGAACATTCACATTTCCCTCAAATCATATCATGTGTGGTCAAATTCCTCCTCCAAACTCAGATTCACAATAATCACAGATCTGCTCTTATTACTATTGTTTTGACCTTTTGAAGAACTATATGTGACTAGAATTTAAATATACACCCATTATTGGCAGCATTGAAGTTTGAACTCAGCGTCTTATATTAACTCTAGAGCCACACATCCAGCCCTGCTTTATGCTGGTTATTTGGGAGATGGAATCCCACAGACTTTTTGCCCAGAAGGATCATAGCCTTGAGTCATGATTCTCTAGATTTCAGCTAGAATTACAGTTATGATCCACCAGCATCCAAGCAAGGATATATTGCCTCTGGCTTCTATCACCTAGTACAAGGTTGTTAAAACTTATCATATTACATATATTAGTTATTTATTCCTTTTGTTACTGAATAGCATTCCATTGTGTGTGTGTGTGTGTGTGTGTGTGAACCATAATTTGGTTTATCATTTTCTGCCTGATGAATATTTGAGTTGTTTCTGGTTAGGTATTAATAGGAATAAAAACACTAGGTATACTTGAATGTAAGTCTATTGAATATTAAATGTCCTTGGACAGATACCTAGAAGTACAATTATTGAATTTTATGAGACATTTAAGTTACATGTAAATGCATGAAATATTGCCATCATGTTGTCCAGAGTAGCTGCACAATTTTGCACTCCCACTAACAATGTAAAAGAACTCTGGTGTTTCTATTTCCTTGCAATGTAAAACATTTTTATTCTTGTATTAGTGTCTATTGCTGTTAGGCAGAGAAATATTTGATTTTGTGGGAAACTCTGCTCCTAGTAGTTACGGTTATCTCTTATCTTTAAATTAGGAACCCTAGTAAGTGTCAGGGAAGAGACTCAGAATAGACACTTGGTAGTGATGGTGATAATATGGTAGATTTAATAGAAGAAACATCAAGCTTTAGCAGTTTCCCTAACAAGGCAACTGCTCATCTCACTTTTAGATGAGGAGGGAAATACAAGCTCAGTCCTGGAGCAGGACTGTGGTACAGATTCGGCGTGTTCTCATTCCCTTTTCATGTGTTTTTATTTACATTATGCTTCAGGTTCAACAACAAATCTCCCTCTACCATCAAAATCTTACTGGCAAGGAAGGTATTAGTTATCTGTTGCTGCATAATGTGACTCTCAAGTGTAATTGTTTAAAATACCAATATTCACTATTTCATAGTTTGGGGTGTCAAGAGTTGAACATAGATGGGGTGGGACATCTGGCTCAGTGTTACACACAAGGCTGCAGTCAAGATGCCGTCTGACAATCTACCCAGGGAACCACTACCGAGCTCTCCCAGCGTGACAAATTCATTTCCTTGGGATCTGGTAGATTCAGAGCCTCTGTTCTTTACTGGCTATGGGATGCCCTGTGTTTTGCCACATTGGTTCCACAATAGAGCAGCTCAGAGTTAAAGAACAAAAGTATACATGTAAGAATGAAGTCACAGCCTTTCATAACCTAATCCATTACAGTTGTGGGTGTCACTGGGTCCAATCCACACAAGGATAGTACATTATAAGGGTGTGAGAGTACTGGGCAGTGGGCTTATTGGGAACCAAAGTCAGGACTAGAGTGAAAGGAGTAGTATGCCCAGAGATGCAACATTGGAAGAATGACTTGTTTCTATACAACTGTAAGAGTGAATCCCACTTGACTCCTCATTCACCTTACCCTGGTTCTGGCTCTGCCATCGGCACTTATACATATCTAGTGCACTTACATTGACTTCTGCTCACCGAATCAGGGCTCCTTGCTGAGACAGCCTGCCTAAGCCTGTCCTAGCAGGCAATTGGCCCTCAATAAATGATTCTCTCTAGAAACTTGGCTATTTGTGTTCCAATCCCCCAAAACACTGTTGGAGAAAATTGGAATCAGATAAGCCCAAGACAATCACACCTGATTCTTGGATGATCTCTATATTTAGAGTACTATTTAGCAGAATGCAATCCATATGCCAGACTCATTGAGGGCACTTTAAAAATGCAAATTGCTGGGTTTCTCTTCAAGCCAGTTAATCAAAATATGAGAAATAGCATCCCAGGGTATGCTCAAGCTTATTGCAATAAATAGCCTTTTGAATCTAAGGAGTGATTTCAGTTGTGATATTTTAAAACTAAAATATCTGTCTGATATAGGTGGGAAAAATTTAGAGAAAAGAATTGCATGACAACAACAGGTTTTTAGGGGCAGGGAGTGTAGGGAAAGTATCTGCTTAATAAGCTTTAACATCCCATGTGAACAGATTGCTTATTACTGATGAAAAAGCCAAGGTAGGTTCTAATGTAGTATCCGTATATACTAAAATGACTATTTTCCATATTGTTGGCATTACTAAATATGCATTACAATTCCACCAAAGTGAATTCTGTCCAGTTTTTTTTTTACTATCAACCCCTGTTAGTGATGCAGATCATAGGAACACATCCAGGAGTTCCTGCACCTTTGCAAATGAAATGAGCTGCTAATTACATTGGTACTTATAGAGGAAGCCATTATATTAGCCCCATTGACTCTTCTTTCCCCCGCTACATTACAGTCAGGTACCTGAAATGTAATCAATCTCAGTTTTGGAAAGGAATCCCTGGTCTGCCTGTAGAGATTGTCACTTACTGGTTTCTATATCAGAACTATCATGTTGTGCAGGTCACACAACTGACTGGGTTGTGTCAGAAAAGGACTTTTTCGTAGCTGTGGGAATCTACAGCTTTAGCTCAGGAATAGAAGCAATTACCAAACTTTAATGGGGCCAGACACTCAGATGCTGCATGATGTGAGTTGATGAGCATCTTCTTCATGCTCAAAGAGCATCATAGACCTGAGGGCACCTGAGTACCTGTTTATAAATAGAAAGTCCAGGAGAAACTTTCCACTGTAAAAGCAATGAGTCCAGAAGGACCAATCAAAATAACTTAAAAGATACCACTGAAAGTCGGTGACATTTCAGAACTCTAGCTTTCTATAAAAATAAAAGTCATGCTGGAGGCAAGCCCTTGAAAAGCATATCTTGTCCCTGACCCCCTCCTGCCTTTCTCTCTGCTTCCTGGCTGCTATGGGGTGATCAGCTTTTGTCTGTCTATGCCCAACTGCCATATGTTTGTCCTGTCATGGGCCTAAAAAATCTATAGTACCTTCTGAGCATGAAGCCTCTGAAGGAAGATATTTTCTCCTTTAAAAATTTAAATTAAATTTAAAAC